TCTGAGCTTGGCACACCTATATTCTGATCCTGTATGTAGCTTTCTACCACTTCAGGTTAGAGGACAGCCTGGAGCCCCAGCCCCTCCCTTATGAAAAAGTGTTGAACTTGAGAAACTGGTAACCCATATTACTGCCTTGAAATTCTGAGCAGGGTTAGTCCTAAAGCATCCTTAAAAACCACATTTTTAAAAAATACGATGTGAAAACGTCTTTGGTGTCACATCTTCAAAGTTCCAGATTGGAGCAGGAGCTTGTTTGGTCTGCTATTCAGGCACTAGCCATTTCTAAATGAGAGTCAGGAGTGCACCTACAAGCTGCACGTACCCTAATTTAAAAGTATATCTCTGTCAAATGACTTTTTGGAGGCTCTTTCAGCAGTCCCTTCTCTTCCTAACGGGCCGGACACATCTCATCTCTGAAACCTTCCCTCTGTGAGTTTGGGCTTTTTCTCCCCCCCCCCCCCCGTTTGGTGCCTCCTCAGAGCCACAGTCAATGCAGTTGATTGCTTAAGAATAATATAGTTACTTAAAAGAGATGACTTTGATTGTGTGTGTTTTGTTCCCATCACAATAACCCTTTGCAGGTGATTATTAAATTAGAGATCTTCTTTGTTTTTCTAACAAAAAGAGCCCCTTTTCATGTCAGCACCAATTATGAGTGGTAATTTTTCACATTTTACAAAAGAAATTTCTGTCCTACCTCCCCAAAGCCTCCCCCGCCCCAAATAAAACAGGGCTTTGACACTCAATGACAAGGAAGATATTTTTCCTTTTCTGCACACACTGTGCTTTTGAGTTTTCTTTAAAAAATCTGTTGACTCTATTGAAATGTGACAGGGCAATATTTAACCTGAATGGAGGCACGTTGACTCCTCTTATTAAAACTGACAGTTAAGGACATTTCGCTCTTTATTCCTTCTGATACATGCAGACAAGTCTTCACTGCTAACTAGTATACAAAATCAAAAACAAAAAAATACAGAGTGAGGAGATGAGTACCTTATAAACAATATATGAATGACAATTGCAAGTTTAATCTAGCAAAGAAACCTTTTTTTATCCTTTATGAAAATTAAAGCCCTTTCAAATTAGTTTGAGATATGAAGACAGGCTGACATTGTTAATTTCCAAGTATGAATCCCCTTTTCTTCGTCTCCTCTCTTTTCCAAGGGAGACGTGTGTGCTTCCCCAGAATATTCTGGGTGTTTTTGCACTAGTGCCGATTTAAAAAAATGGGACTACTATGCCTTGACTCTCATAGGGGAGGCAGGGAGGGGAGGCATTGAGTTGGGGCTTTCCCTCTCCTTGGAAGGGATGGGGTGTTCCTGATTGCATGCTGCTGCTGGTGGCCCTCCTATGAGCTGAGCATGGCTTGCAGTTAGTTCTTCCGGAAGGATGTAAGAGGTGAGCTGGGACTCTGAAGTCCCAGGCACCCCATTCTGCAGGGATGAACACCTGCAACTGAAAACACGTGGCCTTCATACTTCCTGTGGGTGCTCAGATATCTCCCAAACCTCAACACCTGAGGTAACTGCTTCCTTTGATTTAACTTTCCTAGGCAGGGAAGGAATGTGGTGTGTGTGTGTCAGGAAAGCTTGGGTTATTTGCAGGCCCACAACTAATCTCTGGCTTGTCCTGCAAGCCACTTGCTATAGTTTGGCTGAGGTGCTTAGCCAAAGCTGCTGTTGTCCCCACAGCTCACAAGCCCAAAGAAATGACCAAACCTCTTTTGTCTTCTTATCATCACAGGTCAGGAAGCTTGTGAAAGGTGTGGTAGATGCTTATTGCTAAGTCTTGCAAGAGTTACCAAGAAGGTCCAGTCCAGCTGTAGCTCAGGTGTGCAGAAGGATTTGAACAGAGTGTGTATGTGAAGCTTAGCCAGAGAGTGAGAGATCTCCAGATCCCTGGGCAAGTGGCTGATAAGCAGCAAGGCCCCCAGTCAGTTCTGTGGTGGTCTGTTTCCTTGCTCCTCTTATAGTTCAGCTGTTGTTCCTCTGGTAGAGTTGTGGGGGAGGCATCAGATCAATGACTTCTTTCAGATCAAACTTGTTAAGGGTGATGAGTGAACTACATTTCCCAGGATTCTTAGGGGAAGTCATGTGATTTTGAATATGCTGTATGTATGGTGTGTCCTGCAGCCCTGAGAGAGAGACTTCAAGTTTCAGAGGGTTCTACTCTGCTGCACATTGCCCGGTGTGTGTGTGTGTGTGTGTGTGTGTGTGCTTCCAAATGACCTATTTATTGAGCATTCATCCTGATTTCTTTGCAGGGAGTTTAGATGATGTTGACCAGTGCTTTTTTTCTTAAAAAATGTTTAGGGGTACTCTCATTTTCCTACTCATATTGAAATACTGCCCCTCAATGAGGCCAAACTTAGATTCACAAAATGTTTAGGGGTATGCGCTCCCCTGCATCCCCCCCCAGAAAAAAGCACTGATGTTGACTATTTAGTGAGCCTTCAGCAAGTGTTATTGCATACTCAGGGTGTGTTTGGCTCTCGCTTAACTTCTTGCAAAAAGCCCGACATTTGGGGGAAGCGGGTTTCATGTGAAAGATCTGCCGAACAACTATAATTTGCCTGAATTTGCCAGTATGTGACTAAATCTCATGCGAAAAAAGTGACGGTCTGGAAGTACTCTGGGTGCCTATACTGGATGCCTATTTCAGGAGGAGGCACAAGAGTCACATGTGCATACACAACAGAACTGTTCTATTACAGAGCTGTCACAGCCCTGAGCAGCCAGTTCTGGATGACGGGCAGGAGATGTACGTTTGCATTGCTTTTCTGAGATTTAAAAAAATGATTTAACACACTGAAGATGTTACCTTTTTATTGTGCATTTTGAACTACAGTAGTCTGTTGATCCTGAATACTTATAGCTGTTAGGATTATTTATTTTCATTATTATTGTTTAATTAAATGGCTGTGTTTCTCTACCCCGACTGAAATGTCTGCCTTTACTGCAATGTCCACTTTCAAAGTCCTGCTTTCCTTTCCTCATATCTAACTCCCATCCAGAGGTGTAGCTAGAAGTTGGCCAAGTTGGCCCTCCACTCTGGCTTGGAGTAGCTAGGAGCCTACCCGCCGCTTCACGTGTTCCCTGGATTGCTCCTCCAATGCTCTGGGCAGCCAAGTGGGGTATAGGTTCCTCTGGGCACCTCAGCAGATGAATCCGAGCACTGGCACGGGCCATCACAACATCCATGTGGGGCCTCCTCAGTCGGTCAGCAGTGCTATTAGAAATGTGAGTGGAGTGCCCTACGGGGCAGGGCTTGGGGAGAAGAAAGATGGAGAGAATGGTTGAGAGTTGCAGGAGGAGGAAAAGGGGAGGCAGGAGACAGAAGGGAAAGCAGCGAGCGGAGGAAGACAGGCAGATAGGTGGACTGTTGGAGGAGGAGGAGGAGGAGAGGAGGCAGAGCAGAGCCAACCCCAAGGGCCGCAGAGGAAGACATCGTGAAAAGGAACAAAAGCAAACTTTTTGAATTTCTGGTCCATGGTCCCTGCTAGCTTCGGAAGACCTGATGCAGCTCCTTGCCAAGGGCAAAAGGGAACCTAGGACTGCTCCATCACCTTCCTGTCCTCAGTGGGAGGGGAACTGTGCTGTTGAATGCTTGCTATCTTTCTTAATGATGAAATGCCCTCTTTTCTAAACATGCCAAATCCCAAATCACTTTGTTACTCCTCTTGCCACTTGCTCTTATCAGGCAACTCTTTGGGCCATCTCACAGGGCAGTTTCCACCAGAACCATATTTTTCTTTAAGAGCAGCAGCTGGTCCTAATTCAAGAGTGGAGCCCCTGTGAAGGTGCAAAGGGCTTTGCGGGGGGACATGCCTGGGTCACTCCATGCTGCTGACTGGGCGGACCTGCTAGACTTCAGCTTCCAGCCTTTTGAAGAGAAAGCTCTGATAGCTGGATCCTTGAACCCCCATTTTAACTTCTTGCTCAAGGCTCCAGAACGGATATCTTGAACCATAATTCTTTAATAAGAATTGCACTTTTATAGCTCTCTTTGTACTGCTGTAAATTTGATTGGCCAGATGTTCTTAGGTTTAATAAAAGTTTTTAAACAAACCTTTGTGTTCCCCTCCCCTTAAATCTTGATTCTTGGTGAGCCAAAAACGAACAATATGCACAAGAGGCCTTCTCCCTTCTTTCTGTTTGCACTTTACAAATTGTCTGATTCCATTATGTGCTGGTAGTGTTAGCAAAACCCTTGGTGTTGCTTTGCTAGAGTTTTTTTTTTTGGGGGGGGGAACAGGTTGAGATGGGAGAGGGAAATGGATTCTGAGGGTAGCATAACTCTAGTGTGGAGACAGTGGCCTGGAGGTGGATTGGGTGGGCCTCGGAGTGGCACAGCTGGTAATAATAATAATAATAATAATAATAATAATAATAATAATAATAATTTTATTATTTGTACCCCGCCCATCTGGTTGGGTTTCCCCAGCCACTCTGTGCAGCTTCCAACAAAGATTAAAAATACATTAAAATGTCACACCTTAAAAACTTCCCTGAACAGGGCTGCCTTCAGATGTCTTTTAAATGTCAGGTACTTGTTTATCTCTTTGACATCTGATGGGAGGGTGTTCCACAGGGCGGGCGCCACTACCAAGAAGGCCCTCTGCCTGGTTCCCTGTAACCTCACTTCTTTCAGTGAGGGAACCTCCAGAAGGCCCTTGGCGCTGAACCTCAGTGTTTGCGCAGAATGATGGGGATAGAGACGCTCCTTCAGGTATACTGGGCCCAGGCTGTTTAGGGCTTTAAAGGTCAACACCAACACTTTGAATTGTGCTCGGAAACGTACTGGGAGCCAATGTAGGTCTTTCAGGACCGGTGTTATATGGCCTCGGCGGCCGCCCCCAGTCACCAGTCTAGCTGCTGCATTCTGGATTAGTTGTAGTAGCCCCACGTAGGCCAAGAAGCCTTGAATTTCTGTCAAAAAAGCCAGTCTAAAGGTGGTGAAGTTCTTCACAGAGTCCTTTGTGGTCACAATAGACTATCTCATTTTCTTCACCAGTGATGCTTTCCCTGAAAGATTCACTTATGGGTTTTTTTTCCTTTCCTTCAGCTCTAATTAAAGCTTAATTTCCCATAACAACAATAAGAGTTCCCAGAATTGCATCATCTTAGTTGTGAGGTAAATATTGATTGCTGTTCATATCCACACCACACTCTTATAACTGCATTAAATATACAGAGAATGGTCACATCTAACATCCATTCCTTGACTGGAGGCTGCTGCTGCCAGTGTTTAATTGGATTAAACGCTTCCTCATCTCTTCTTTGATCAGGGTCTCTGAGTTAAATCCAGTAACTCCTCATGGGGTCCCTGGAGCCTTCCCTCACCTGGAGCCCTCTGGTTATTTTGGACTACAACTCCCAGCAGCCCCAATAAGCCAGCATGGTTGTGGGTTCAGGACAGTATCCAACTAAATTTTATTTATTTTTATTCATTAAATGTGTATAAACTGCACTTTCATATAAAGTGTCACATGGCGGCGCGGCTTTTTTTCCAGCCGGAACTCAGTTCCGGTACCTCTCAGGTGGGCACTATTGCCATTATAAGAGAACAAGAACTCAACTGTCCTGCTTTAAATGAGAGATCACATCTTAAAGAATCCGCCCCGGCTTCTGATTGGATCTGGGAGTGTCCCAGGATCCATGCGTTCTCTCTTGAGCAGCTAAGGAGGCCTGCCTATGTGGTGCTGCTCTGCCCAGAAAAGGCCTGCCCATGTAGCACTGTGGCGCTCCGAGAAGGCCTGTCCTCACAGTGCTGGCCGATGGAGGCAGCAGCAATGAAGAGAGAGTAAGGTAAGACAGCTTCCAAAATACCAGTTGAATAAGGTTGATTTGCTTGACTGACAATGCCAGCGTAGCCTCTTCTCCTTAAGCCTTATTAGAAATGTGCTAGAATAAACTTTGAGGAAAGAGTGTGCTCCCTGGATTTTCAAATTCATAGCTTGAGACAGTTGTTGGCCTTTAATATATTCCTCATGGGCCATAGATAAAATGGAAACCTGATCATTTTGTTTTGGATCCACAAAGGAAGCAAGGGGAAGGGGAAATTTTCCGAAAAGTATTGAGGTGTTTCCAAATAATCACGTTTACCCAAAAAGCGCAGGGAGATTTTCCTCAGAAGGGAGATTCTCCTCAGCTAGGTTTAGATCTATAGGTGCTCAAGGGATACATTCTCTCTCTTTCCCTCTCCTTTTTATGGTTGATTGTAGGACTCTCTGGTTTAAGATTCTGTGGTTGACTGTAGGACACTTTGAAGCCCCTTGCATTCACCCCCCCCAAAGGTGCAGCCCCCCAGTGCTTTTTTCAGGAGGAAAACGCACAAGATCACTGCTACCAAAATGGCTGCCATTCTCGTGCGATAAAAAAATGAGATGTCCCAGTTTTTCTGGGACACTTGCAGGGTATGATGTGGTGACTTCCTCATAGCTATGATGTGACACGTACAAAGACTCATAGTTTTTTCCTGATTATTGAATGAGTTACAGTGCCAACCATTGGAAGAACTGGCTTATCCATAGGACCTGGAGGGAAGGAAGCCCACAGGGAACCATGGAGAAAGCCGTCAGGCTGCGTCTGAGCTGAAAGCAGAGTGAACAGTGACAGGGATTTCGGTAGCAGGCCCCAAAGTGATGTCCTCCCTGCCCTATATCCTCTGCATTACCACCCCCACTGTGGCAGCTGGCCAAATCTGGCTCAGCCGCACCAACATTGTGGATGCCCAGGCAGGCCTCTCATTATGCTACAAATTGTGTTTTGTGCCTTGTTTGAATGCTCTCGAGTTAATTTGTTTTATGTTCATGTTAAGCACCCTTGTGCCACTAACACAGAGGAAACTGCTGCTTGCAACGGCGCCTGGCCTTGTAAAAACCAGGACACTCCGAAAGTTGTTGAGCTTTTTTTGATTGAATTGCTTAAGATCCAGGACAAAGCGCCACCTGTCAATTCTGCCTTTGAAATCCCAGTAATGTCCAGGAAAATCCAGACATATGGCAGCCCTAGTTCTACCTTGTCGTGTGGGTATATTTTTGGATCATGATTCTTTTAAAAAACATGTTTTCTATACTTCCAGCCTTTATTGATCTCCATTAGGTTGTTGCTGTTGTTGTTGAAGCATCAACAAACTTTCCAGGTAGAGGAGGGGGAATGCCTGACTCCACTGGTGGCACAGTTTCTGTGGAGAGCCCAGCTTGCTCAAGGACTCAGCCTTATACTCTCTCACTCTGTCCTTGCTGTCCTCCTCCTTTGCTAATCCAGTGAGGCAGAAGAAGGAAAAAGCTGGAGGCATGAGCATAGAAAGAACTGGAAATTGTTCCTAAAACACACAGGGAATCTCGCAAGTCCTTGAGAATGTTTCGGGAGGGGAACATTAACTTAGCTTACAGCATTCCCACATAAAAGAAGGGGAACACAGGCAATTTTCCTTCAGTGGGGTTTTTAATTTTTTGTTATTTTTCTAAGCAACAAAAAAAGACAGTACTCACAAAAAAGAAAAAATGGACATTAACAACAAAATAATATAAATACAACACAAGGAGCTATTCATGTTAAAGTCAAAAGAAATATAAAATATCAGGAATAAATGAACTGGGTAAAATTACAAAATTGTAAAATTATAAATGGCGTATAAAAATACAACTTACATTATACAACAAAGGAAATGGGGTAGGTGAGAAGAAAGGTCTTGCCTGTTTCCAGATGCTGCCAAATAAAATAATATTTTGAAAGGATTTGCCACCCGTGTGACAGTGTTGTCATATATTTAACAAATAACCCCCAAATAGAGGCAAGGAGGTTTTTCAAGCATGCCCAACCTGCCTGCCTCCAGGGAGCTGCTTCTTTTTTTACTCCTCTTGCTATATTTGAACTGCAGCAGCACGTGGGCCTCTGTTTTGTGTGCACATCTTTTTTCGGGTGTGTGTGCATGTGTTTGAACATATGTATGAATTAAGTGTAGTGGAATATTGGCTCAGCCCGGGAAACACGAGGGAGCCACATGCTCTGCCACAGCATTGGCTGTTGCTGCACCAAAGCAAAATTCTTCTACTACAGAAGGCAGCCTGTTTTGCAGCTGACTCATGGCAAGTTGCCGATTCTTGCAGGACAGAAGGTGCACCGACATAAAAGGACGGTGGAGATAAGTTGATTCTCCTACTAGCCTATATCACTGCTGCAAAAATTACTGCACATTTGGCAAAGAAACTAGTTTGAGCTCTGCTTCTTTGCCAGCATTTCTAGGGAGCTTGGAGGAGCTCACATTCTGATCCAGGAAACTATATAGAACTCGGCGAAAAGCAGAATTGTAGAGAAAATGAGCTTGTTCGTTTTTTGGCCATCTACTTGTTATTTCCAACTGCAGTTTATAGTAACCTCTACACCGTACATTTAAAGCACTCTTATACCGCTTTAACTGTTGGTTCTCTGCCCACAAAGAATCATGGGAACTGTAGCTTGTTAAGGGTGCTGGGAATTGCAGATCTGTGAGGGGTAAGTGATGGCTCCCAGTATTCTTTGGGGAAATCCTTGACCATTAACATCTCTGCCTGGACCAGCAACTCCACAGAGGCTTACAATGAATGTTGCCTTGGGCAGCAGTGAACACCAAAGGCAATGTCCTTTGGGATTCTCTTCAGGAGACACGGCAGAGGATGCTATCCCCTGGTATGGCTAACTGCTGGTTGGACTGATTCCTGTGTGAGAACCAGGAATAACCAGGAGGGTGCGAATGTACCAAACCCAGCCTCCTGGTGAGAGGCAGAAGGATGGCAAATGGTGATCTGGTGATAGCATGAAAACTATTCATGAGTACATATGAAGGATACTTGGTGGGTGGTAAGGGACTTGGTGGGTGGTAATATTGTTGAGTGACTGAACAGTTACCCTGCGACTGGGGTGGGGCGGTGGGATAATAGCATCATGTGCCTGAGAACAGGGGGGTGGGAAGATTAGAGTTCTAGGGAACTGGAGGTATCGAATGTGTAGGGTATGCAATATAGAAGAGTGGGGAGTAGACACTTGACACTTGTTGCCCCTGCTCAGCCTCACTGCAACCAAAACTTCAATAGCCATGCTGGTTTGCTCTCCCAACTGGTGGTGCTGTTACACTTGCTAGGTCAGTCCATAATAAAAAAGCCTTTAACCAAAATTTGATTGGGCTGATTTGGTATGTATTACAGAGACTTAGGTGAGTGAGCTGGAGAGTCCTGATCATACCAAGCTTTACTTGCCTCGGCATTCAGGGCAGCACAGGTCAAGGTTGGAGGGGTGAGAAAGAGGTGTGGCAGAGACAGATCAGGGATCTTGGTGGACTATCCATCCTGCAGTCCAACCACATCCTGGATTGAGCTGGCAAGGGAGGTTTGTGGCATGATGGTGGAGAACCCCATGATAATAGTTCCAGAGGACTTCAGTAAATATTCTGTGGGTGTGCTTGCCACCCTGGGCTCTTTTGGGAGGAAGGGCAGAATATTTATTTCATTTATTTTATTTCATAAAATTTATACACCACTTAGAAGAAACAACCTCAAAGCAGTTTGCAAAAGATAAAATGGTTAAATCAAGAAAAAGTCACAACCATACTTTAAAACATACAAAAGTTAAAATACTAAATCAGGTTGTTAATATGTCAACTTTCTAAGTATCTGGGTAGACTTGTCTAAACAGGAATGTTTTTAGCAGATGCTGAAAAGTACAGTGATATTGTCTGCTTGTTCTCAATAGGCAGGGAGTTCCAAAGTGTAGGAGCTGCCACATTAAACAATTCAAGTTCTTACAAAGGCAGAATGAGTTTTATGTGGCACCTGTAGTACTGCCTATTTTTGCTGACTGAAGAGGTTGGGTGGGCATGGGTGGGGTAAGGGTAGGCAAACTGGTCCCAAGCTGTTAAGGGTTTAATAATAATAATAATAATAATAATAGCCAGAGATGGGCCATCAAGGTGGAAACAGGGTGGTGATGGTCTTTCCTCAACCCTTGACTCTTCCATTTACAGATGATGGCAGATGGGGAAAGACTGAGCAATCTTAAAGGGAGAGCTGAACTTTGCCATGCTGAGCACAACGGCAACGCTCCCCACTCATGTCTCCCAGCAACTGGAATAATTCCCCGGCATTCTTCCTCAGATCCCGGAGCATGTTTGCAAATGCTTGTAACCAAGGTGGTGGTGGTGGGGAGAGGGGCGCTGCGTCCCTTTAAGCGCCTCCCTTCCTCCCCTCCTTCCTTCAAGTAGGGTGAGCGTGGTTTGTCTTTTTGCGACAAGTGCCCTTACAGAAAGCACCACTTGGCAACCAACTTCACAAATTCCTTCCTCTTTGCAGAGAGCAAACTTGCTGCTGTTGCTTTTCAATGAGGCCCTTTGATTGCTATTGAGCCGCTTGCGCTGTTGCCAGAGGCGGCCTGGCTTTATGCAAAAGGCTGGCTAATTGTGCTACTTCCCTGGGCTGCCTTTGGAACAATGTCTCTTCCAGCTCTGAAGCAGCGGGTCGCTTTTCATGCCTTAACGAGCAGAGGATCCGGGCATTAGATCCAGAGCCAATTCATGCATTAAAGTCTTTCCAGGCCCCCAAAATAAGGTTGTCTTTCAGAATTACATTTGGAATCAAAAGCAAATAGCAACTCTGAACCCCAGCAAGTGCATGCGTATGTATGTTCACTCTGTCAAGATTGGAGCCCCAGAAAAAGTTGGGCAGGATGTAGCACTGATGAATCAGGGAAACAACACAAATACCAAACCAGTCTGCCTACAAACTTATGGGGGTGGGTGTTAGTTTTTTTTTTAAAAAGCAAGCATTTCTGTT